AGAGAGAGAGAGAGAGAGAGAGAGAGAGAGAGAGAGAGAGAGATGAGATGAGATACCGGGCATTGAACTCAGGACCTTGCACTTGCGAGGCAGAGCACTGAGCTAAATCCCCAGCCCCCTCTGAAGAACATTTGATAGCAGGAACCCACTATCATGTTGGAAGGCCAGGCCAGAGCAGATTTTCATACATATCATGGCAAGGACCTGAAGTATATCTGGAGATAATAGGGCAGAGCCAGTGTTCCTCGGTTGGCCAGTACTGGGAATTCACCAGCAACAAACCAAGGAGAGGGCAGACATGAAGAGGTACCACAGACACCCAGAGTGCTCCTGTGATTCCTAGAAGTACCAAACAAAATCCCTCGTACCCAAATCTCAACTTTGTTCTGTGAATTAAAATTCTGAGTTATTCACATAGAACATTCCTGTAAGCGAAACAGTTCATATTAACACATCAGTTTAACAAAAAACTCAAAAAATATCATGTATATTGAGTGATGGTAATGTTGTTACATTAGGATATTATGATTAAAATATCTGATTTTGAGAAAATAATCTCTGAATATTAAATTTTGGGCTTATTTTTAGATGATGATGCCACAGATGAAGTCCCAAACTCAGAAGAGGCACCTGTGCTTTCCGAGGAATTAAAATGGGCATCCAGAACTGAAAGTATGAGCTTAGGTGGAAGAGAGAGAGAAGCCCACACTTCTGGCAGTTTAAGAACACAACCGAATTCTCAGAAGGGTTGGGAAGATGTCTCAGAGTTACCTCCAGTTTGTAGCTCTTTACCGCCCTCCAGTGGACACTCGTTAAGCAATGAAGATAAAACAGAAATTGATGAAAATCAGCTCGTAAAATCTCACAGTCGCCCATCGTACCAAATTCAGCCAGGAGGAGACATGGGACAGCTTCACGGGGTCACACCTGTAAAACTGTGCCGCAAAGAACTGCGCCAGATTTCTGCCTCGGAACTGTCGCTACGACGTTCTAGTCTAGGAGTTGGGGTTGGATCAGTGACGGCCAGTCCCAGTCATAGATCTAGAAAACCAAGTGACTTGAAAACGTAGACAACAGACAAACAATAGAACTTTTAATTTAATAGATAATGTAAAAAGATTCCATTTTCTGACTTGTTAAAAAATCAAAGCTCATGCTTACCAGCTCTTCCATCAGGATAAAGGAAGAAGGGACTGAATGAATCTTTTTACATATTTTGTAAGAGATATATATCTTCTGTAGTATATTTTATGAATTTTAGTTTACATTTCCATAATAAAAAAATTTTCCAATACTTGATAGTATTTAAATATTTTCACTTATAAATACGTGTAAAATTTTTAAAAGTATATTTGTTTTGTTTTTTATTTTTCAGGCATATTTGAAGAACAAAACTAATATATTAAAATACCTTTCAGATGTATATTACTGTATAATATAGAAAGTATTTTACATTATAAAAATATAATACATTAAGTATATTACTGTTTCTCTAATATACTAGCATATTGCTTTTCTAAAAGGTCCAGCTAAATACTAGGCTAAAGGGAGAACCACATATGCCTATGTTTTAGCACAGCTGAAAGTCTGTGTGCTGAGATGAAGTCTTAGGCTAAGATATCTTGGCAGGTTCATTGTCTCAGGTTGATTTGCAGTTCTAGATCCAAAGAAGTTGGATGGTCGGTCTTGACCCTAGTCCCTGATGTTTTTTTAGAATTTTTAAACATTTATAATTTTATGTTATTGGTTTGCTTACATAATGCAATATAAGTTTTCGTCTTTCCCTGCCCTGTACTTTCAACATGTCTCACTATGCTACCAAAACTGGGAGATACAGACACAGTTCGGTGGAACAGGGAAATAGTGACAGAATAACACTGATGCACCCCAGCATTCTCAGAAGACTGTACTGACTGTGCAGTGCCTGGTCACGTGCACGATGACGTGAAGCTTGAAGTCTAGCCGGAGGATCATTAGCTAATAATCTGAAGAGCTTCGGTGTGAGATTCTCCTCTATAATCTGCTTTCTCGGGTTTTCATACTGGCAGGTGAAACTACTCTGGGGCTGCAAATATATAAATGAAATTTTTTCCTAAAAGTTATTTTGGCCAAAGTCTTATTATATAATGTTCAGAATTAAGAACGGAACAATTTCCCATTGGTTCTTTTTCACTATATTTTTCTATCACAGGCAGTATTTCATCATAATGACCTGGCATATTATTTTGTTACTTTTCATTTTGCAATTTTCTTTAAACTAGGGTTGAGCTTCTCAGACTGACTGAATGGGGGCAGCAACAAAACCACCTTGCCCTCTTACGGATGGCTACCCAAGAGAGCCACCCACTTCTTCCTGAATCCTCTTATCTGATGCTGCTGTGGGCTTTCCTTTTGTACTTTCCTCTGCTGTTGTTGACCTGACCCTCTCTCCTAAGACCGAATTGTCACCTTGTTCTCCCACACATACTTGAGAGTTGTCCCTTTCTCTAGTTGCCCCTAGGGAGTAGCATTCCTTGTCCTGTTGTGAAAAACCAGTTCTTACAGGAAAAGAGAAACATTTCAAAATGATGAATGGTTTATCTCTTAAGCATGGTACTAAAATTTAAATTTTATTTAAAATTGTGGTTTAAATAGATTTCTGGGAAATTAATCTGGGAACTGAACAATTTATAACATTGGCCTACTGAGAGAAACTGCCTTTGGTTTGGATGACAGAAGGAATAAAAAAAAAATATATATATATATGCAAAAGCCCAGTGCCTTCAACAAAACATAACAGTATCCATTTATTAGTAAAATACCGATGAAGATCCTGTCTTGCTTACCTTTTTTGAGACAAAATGCCTGACACTCGAAGGTGGAAAGGTTTATTTTGGCTCAGTTTGCAGAGGTTTCAGTTCATAGTTGGCTGGCTTTAAGGCAGGGTAGCATGGCAGAGGAGCATCGCAGAGGAAAACAGCTCATGGTGGGCAGAAGGCAGGAAGGCAACGACCTCCCTTTCCCTTTTATCCCTTCTAGGCTACCTACTCTTTGGGTGGTGCTACCCCCACCCAGTGAGGCCCTTCCCATTTTGCACACTCAGAACTATGCCAAACCAATCAGTGGACTAATTTAGTAACCACACACTGTTATCCTAGCAACATATTCTTAATCTCAGCATTACATACCCTAGATTCAGCCACCTCTGAAAAACCTATTACTTATTACCACATGAGGCTTTGGGGGGACATCCAGACACAAGCTGTAACAGATCCCAGTCAGGCCGGGGAGTTAGCTCAGTGGTTCTGCCACCTGTTGTGCAAGCAAGCGCAAGAACCTGAGTTCCATCTCTGGCACCAAAGCAACAAAAAAAGGATCACAATCAGAAATTTCTTGTAAGATAAATGTGCTATGTCTTAATTATAAATAATTTACACAAGAATGCATTCAAATACTGGCATCTTCCTTGCCCAAGAAATGAGTATGTATTTGCTTTAGCTGTGGAAATATAAACCCATTTTCTTACTAACAAAGCAAGGAAAGTTATACCAAACTAACAGTGATTTGATAATGCAAATGTGAACTGACTGCTGAGTGTCAAAGGTATGATTTTTACCTCACTTTTGATTAAATGTATATTTATGTGCTGTGATAGATATTATGCATATATTCAAACACATATAAAGAATATCTCCTGGCCAGGTACAATTATACTTACCTGTAATTTCAGCTACTCAGGAAGCTGAGGCAGGAGAATCACAATTTTGAGGCCAGCCTGGGCAACTTAGCAAGAACTTGTCTCAAAATAAGAAAGAGTTGGAGTTGGTGGTGCACGCCTGTGGTCCCAGCATTTGAGAGGCTGAGGCAGGAGGATCCTCACAAGTTCGAGTCTAGCCTGAGCTACATAGTGAGACCCTGTCTCAAAAAAAAAAAACCCAAAATTAATAAACAAATAAAAAGGGCTTGGGATGTAGCCCAGTGGTAGAGAGCCCTCCCTGGGTTTGGTCCTAGTATTATAAAAGTAAATAAATAAGAATATCCTGAAAAATATATTCTAGAAGTGAACTTCTGGTCATTTTGGTTTAATCAGTACCCAAGGAAATAAAAACCTAAGCCACTTTCTGTGGCAAATAAAATTATGTTTAAAAATATACTAATAATATATTTTATTCTTTATATGCTTTTCTTGTGTTTGCTTTCTTATATGTATACAAAATGTTTGTGGCTTTTCTTTTTATTCATCATGTTCTTTTCTTTTCTGCCTATAGCAGCATTTAACAGAGAATACCTGGCTCTGTAAAATAGTATTTTCTTCCATAATTCCCACGTTACAAATAACAGGATTGGGAGAATTCTGTAAGTATGGATGGTGAGAACAATGACAGAAGTATGTTTGTTTTTTTTCAGCTTTAATTGAGTTTATTGGTACATTTTAGGGATACAGTACAGTTGCATTCATTGTTGGGATCATGTACCTCTACATGACAAGTCTTGATTCTCATTTTTTCCCCCTACCTCTGCCCTTCCTTCACCCCTTCCTCCCCTCCCCATCTGCAAACACTTTATTTTCATCTTTTCTCTCACATTTTTTTCTTTTCCCTTTTTACTCTTCCCCTACCCATCCCACCTTCCCTACACCTTTAGCTCCTTTCTTCCCATTTCTAAATGTCAGTAATCTTATTAGAATCTTATGCATTGTTGCAGATTATTCACACCAGGGAAACTATTCGGTATTTACACGTGTGACTTATTTATTTCACTGAGGAGTATATCTTCAATATGTATCCATTTTCCTATGAATGAATCTATTTTCTCGTTCTTTGTGGCTGAGTAATATTCCATTTTATAGAAAAACCACATCTTCTTTATCCAGTTTCCAACGGATGGGCAAATAGGCTGTTTCCAAGATTTAGCTATTACAAACTGTGCTGCTATAAACATGGGTGCACATACTTCTCTGTGATATGATTCTTTTAGTTCTCTTGGAAAGATACCCAGCAGAGGGATGGTTGGGTCAAATGGAACCTCCAGTCCAAGCTCTTTGAGGTATTTCCATATTGATTTCCATAGTGGTTGCACCAGTCTGCACTCCCACCAACAATGGAGAAGGGTTCCTTTCTCGCCACAACCCCGCCAACATTTGTTATTGTGTGATTTCTTGATAGCAGCCATTTTTTGTGGGGTGAAGTGGAATCTCAGTGTTGTTTTCATCTGCATCTCTCGAATGACCAGTGATGTAACAGAAGTATGTTTTGACTTTGTTTTCTTTCTGTCCTTTTCTCTTTTCTTTTTTCAGGGCTGGGGAATGAACCCAGGGCCTCCGGCATGTTAGAGGAGCACTCTATCACTAAGCTGTACTCCCAGCCCACACTGCTTGTTTTCTTTTGTCTGTGTGTGTGTGTGTGTGTGTGTGTGTACCCTCTGCATGAACTCGGGCATGAGCAAAAATACATACGATGTCCAGTTGTGTGAACTACATCACCAATAGCCATTGCCTTGTTTATATTAATTTAGGCCATGAAAGTATGAATGCTGTTTTAAAACAGATGCCTTACATGAAAAAGGCAATGTCTTAAATTAAGTCTTAGGATGAATTATAAAGGACTCCAATCCTTACCAGGGGTTCGGTTCTGTGTTCAGCACATGCTCAGAGATACTAAAAGCAAGTGTGACATGCTTTGATCTTTCAGTTATTTCCTTAGGTCCATAGAAACATGAGGTCAGTAGCATCTGAAGTTCTAACTCCTCTTTCAACTTCACTGGAATATAAAACATGAGTTATTGATACTTTGCACTTAAAGTTATACAGGTGGGCTGCTTTCACTAAGACTGATGAAACTTTTATATTTTCAAAAATTAAAAATAAAAGGCCAGGGATTTGGCTCAGTGGTTCCGACACCTGCCTCGCAAGCTCAAGGGCCCGAGTTTGATCCTTGGTTAAAAAAAAAAAAAAATGAATAAAGGTAAGAATGAGGTCTTTCTGAAATAAACACCTCAAATACTTTGGGTGTAGTATTTTTAAGCCTAAATGAGCAGTAGTTTTCCAACAGCGAGGCAGTGGAAGCCTCTCCTCAATAAGGAGCATTTATCATTGTCACTGCTGCTGAAGTAGGAGGGCAGACTGACTTCTCAGAAGTTTCCTTGTGTTTCCTTCTCTCCCAACACTGAGCTCCATACTGCCTAACCAGGTCTCACTGCTTATATGTCTTGCTCCTGGGATGTACTGCATACAGGGACCCAGGCACTGGGGTGCTGTGTGGTGGTTAGGATGGTCTTCCATGTTGAACCCATCATGGTGGGAATGAGAACAAGTCAGAAAACCTCGATGTTTCAGGGATGTTTTTGATATTCTACATTATTCTCACTTGTCTATATATTTTTTTATTCTAGGAAAGTTCACCACGGTCAACTAAAGTACCACTATTTGAAATGGTAGCAGTATAATTTGAACCCAAAAATAATTAATTAGACTTAGGTTTTCTGTTCTACTGGCTCATTATAATACAGTTCTGTTGAATCATCCCTGATTTAAGAGAAAAATAGAGCAATCTAGATTTTGTTAGGATGAGCAGGAATGGTTTATTTACAACAGTGAGGAGTAGAAAGTTAAATCTTTATTAAAACCTACGATTTTTAAGTATACTTGAGAATACTTGTGTAAAGTTTAAAAGGAAATTATTTTAAACTATTATATTTTCAAGTTTATTACAGTATACATAAAACAAAGTAAGTATATAACAAAGTATTTCAAGTCCAAAGAAGCAAATATTTATTCATATGAGTTATCTTATTCTTATTTTTCTTTTCTTTCTTTTTTCTTTTTGTGGTGCTGGGAATTGAACCCAGGCCCTTATCATCAAAGCAAGAACTCTACCGCTAAGCTGCACCCCTAGCCTAAGGAGTCTTATTTTTAAACAAATCACTTCCTCGACCCCTACCCCCTATTACCAACAACAAATTATAGGTCTGTGCCTATTTATCCTTCCTTGTCCATAATGATCCAAGATTCATACAGACAACTAGGGGCACAGGGAGAGAACAGAGAGAGGTTTCTCTGAAACATTCTGTAGACCAACAAATAATTTTCAAAATATTTGGAAAGAATACATTTTTTTTCTTCAGCCAAAGGACTGAAATTTAACTTCAACCTTTGGCTATCTTTAACCCTATAGAATGCTCTTAGTACTGGATTTGTCATTTGGAAGTCTACATCTCAGGGTTTTGTTTTGTTTTGTTTTGGTACCGGAGATTAAACTTGGGTCCTTGTGCTTAAGAGGCAGGAGGTGGTACTGCTGAGCTAAATCCCCAGCACAACACCTCAGTTTTTATCCTGGTTCCTTTTCTTATGATTATTATTTGGGCTTATATGAAAAGCCATCCTAGCAGAATTTGAATGGCAATTGTAAATCCATTCAATAAAAAATTACAAAAAACAAGTTTTGGAAAAATTCCAATAGCCTAACATAAACATAAAAAGTTAAGATTTGAGTGATTCTGCCACGCATGGTGGCACTTGCCTGTAATCCCAGCACTCGGGAGGCTGAGGCAGGAGGATCGCTGTGAGTTCGAGACCAGCCTGGGCTACACAGTGTGCTCCAGGTCAGTCTCAACTATGTAGTGAGACCCTGTCTCAGAAAACAAAAAGCAAAAAGTAAAAACAAACAAACAAAAAGATGTAAGTGATTTTACCAATGAAGAACCATGAATGGCATATCGAAACAAACATTTGATTGTAGGGAAAATTATCAGGATTCATCTTTATAAAAGAATATAATGCTAATTTGATCATTTTGCTCTCTGCTAAAATCTTGCTAAATTTTTCTATGGAGAAACCTGTAGATAAAAGATTTCCATTCATGATTACAAATCAGCAGCTATGAGTCTGCACTGGGAGGCTGAATTAATATTAATTTTTGTCTGTGGCCTGCAAGTGGCATTTCATTATTCTACCATACAGGAATGAGGAGTTATCTTAATCGGACGGATTTGTAATGTTGATAATTTATAAGAATTCTATCTGTCAAGGTTTTATTTTCTAGTACGATTATGTTCTGTAGATGGGAAAAGTAGAAACAGGGCAAAATGTTCTTCTAGTGAGGGGCAATCTCTTTTTGAAATGGACTGGGCAGCACCTGGGTTGCTCCATCCTGGCCCAGGCCTGAGCCCACGTATTTCACCAGATACTTTCATGGCTAACTCCAGGTATCACCAGCTGTGCTAAACTGGGATTGGAAGACATTGTAATCTCATCACTAGAGCATTTTGGATAATGTACATTAGAAATTAGCATATTAATACTAAGTCATAGAGTATATGGCATTTTCTAAGCCACCAGACAGCATTTTCTTTACAAGAGAAAAAGCTATTTATGAATTGCTCCTTTGCATTTAAAAGCAAAATATTTTAAATGCAACTTAATTATTTAATAAATTAATTGAGAAGGAAACCACTATTATAAGTTGTAATATTGCAAATAGTGTGTTCATTTATCAGTAAGTACATGGAAACACTTAAAACTGAAGCATCATATATAAAATTATAACTTAGGTTTTCCATAGAATTGGCTCCAAAAATGAGATGACCTGGCACGTGTGGTTGCTTTTTTTATGTATATCATAAAACATTTTCTAAGCAAATTGATTCTCAGAGAAATTATAGTATTCTCTAGTAAGTTTCATGTATATTCTGCTTGAAAATATTTTAAAAACTTGTGGAATCTACTTTTATAGGCATACATTTACTTTATGACTATGAATAAAAGAATATGTTTTTATTGGGGTTTCTGACCACCAGTCCTTGGCTATTTGTTACTTCTTTAGTAATAGTTCCATTTGTAAATTACTGAACTGCAGCTAGAAAATGAATTTTTAAAAAACTGAGCAATGTTTTCATCCGGTAATCACAAAGATATCTAAAACCCTGCTGCCACCACTCCCTCCCTCCCCAGCAAGAAAATGATGGATGAGCACATTAATTTGGGGGACACGATCAGATTAACAGCGGCCAGTCTTCAGTTAGCATTTGATACTCTTAGCTACTGTATGCCAGAATTTCTGTATGTTACCTTGTGAAATGGGAAGAAAAGGGCTAAAGGTGTAGGGGAAAGGGAATAAGGGAAAAGAGAAAAATATGAGAAAATGAAAAACTGGAAATAAAGTGTTTGTAAATGGGGAGGGAGGAAGGGGTGAAGGGAGGGCGGGGACAAGGGGAAAAAATGAGAACCAAGACCTGTCACGTAAAGGTACAAGATCCCAGTAATGAATGTAACTGTACACCTAAAATGTACCAATAAACTCAATTAAAACATTGACATCACCGTGGTGACTTCATACATATTCCCCTTGATTTGCAAATATCTGTCAATATGAAGAAATACTGTATTCTGAGCTGAGCGTGATGGCATGTGTTGCTAAATCCCAATACTCTGGGAGGCTGCAGCAGAAGAATCACAAATTCAAACCCAGCCAGGGCAACCTAGTGACGTAGGAGGCCCTGTCTCAAATTAAAAAATTAAAAAAAGGACTCAGGATGTAGCCCACTGTGAAGGTCCTCGGTTCAAGCCCCAGTACCGGAGAAAAAAGGATCTCTATTCACATAGATCAAAGGACCCATAACCTGAGAAGCCAAGTAATTGAAGAGAAGGCCAGGAATTCCAGGGTGATAGAACTTACCATCAGGAGTATTCTAGTGGATTGTGAACAAATAAACCAGAAAGGAAGAATGCGTACACTTTTGCTGAAAAAGTTAACCCGGAGCAGTACTGAAGTTCTCTTCAGAAAGTTCAGTAGAACGTCCAGTATCTCAGCTCGACACAGTGGCATGTGCTTGTAGTCTCAGCTACTTGAGAGGCTAAGGTAGGAGGCTCACCTGAGCACGTGAGTTTGAGCCTGGGCAACATAGATCCTTCAAAAAAAAGAGGGAGGAAAAGAAAAGGGAGAATAGTAACTAAAAGCTGAGCTGGTAGCTAGTTACTTTCTGAAAAAAATTACAAAATGGTATCTATAGACAGATGGAAAATTTTTATAGATTTTTATTTTTTATTTTACTTAATTAAAAAAATTTTTTGAGACAGGGTCTCACTACGTAGTTCAAACTGCCCTGGAACTCACTGTATAGCCCAGGCTGGTCCTGAACTCACAGCAATCTTCCTGACTCAGCCTCCCAAGTGCTAGGATTACAGGTGTTCACCACCATGCCTGGCGCTATAGATTTTTAAATAGTCATTTTCCTGCTTTATACTTTCTATGGACAATCTACATAAAATTTTTGTGAATAGAGCTGGGAACTAATAGCCCTATACCTCAAGGAACTTGCATTCTAGTAATATTGATAAATGCTATATAATAAGACCCTCCTTGCCTTGCCTCTATTTTTTTCCCCCCACAGAATGTTTTGTTTTGCAAATGTAACAGTTTGTGCTACTGGGCTCCTGCCCAACATATCAAAATAGTTTTTCTGACTGTTTGAACTCTGTGACCCTTCAGGAATGTTCTGTTAAGCTCTACCCTCTTATAAGAAGGTTCTGTTAAGCTCCACCCCCCTAAGGAATATTCTGGAACTCTGCCCCCTGCTTCAGTGAGCATGCTCGTCTGCCCTGTAGGTCCTATATAAGGAGGCTCTCATTTCTGGAAGACAGCTCAGACTCCGCTGAGTCCGCCAGTCTCGCAGACTTAATAAAGGGTTTTTTTCCACCTCTTCAACTGACCATTGGATTTTTGAGTCTTCAGATTACAAAATTGTGTTCCTGAGCCGCCACACTGGGCTGTAAAGCTCAGCCGTGCCTCTGAGCTGTACCACTTGCTACCACAATGAGCTCCTCTGCTCTAACAATATGTGCTATTGTAAAGATAAAGCTGTACTGCATAAGATAATATAATATTAATGGTGCTTTTTAGATGGAACTATGTTTCTGAGCTTTCACATACACAAAGCCATAAAAAACTAGATATGAATTCACTAATAAACAAAACAGCTTTTCATTTGACGTACTGAGTGCCTACTCAAAAGGGACACGTATCAGAAATTGTATCTGATCATGAATCACATCCAACTAATTTGGTGGGAAGGGCACTGATTAATGTTGCTGAGCCATTTTATTCCTTTGCATACTTTCTCTACTTCTTGAATCTGCACTGTTGCTTAGGATTTATTCTAAGCTTAGTTTATTTCATTAAAAAACTTTAACAACAATCTACATAAAATTTACCATCTTTGGGTACACAATTTAGTTTTTACTATATTTACTATGTGGTGCAATAATACTAATTTCACAACACTTCCATCACTCTGAGAAAAAGCAGTGAGTTCCACTTTCTCCTTACCCTATTTCTTGCCAGCTTGGAGTGAAGTATTTCCGGTTCTGAAAGAAAACAGTCTCCAACCCAGATTGATGTATCCTGCAAAAAACAAACAAAAAACATCTTTCAAATTCGATGGAGAAATAAGATCGTTCTATGACCAAGAACTGAAGACATTCATGACCACTAAACCAGCTCTACAAATACCCTGAGGAATATCGTAGAAGAAGATCATGAGGATCACAACTCCAAGAGCACCAATGGAAAGACGCCACCAGGCATCGTGGCAAGTAATTGAACAGAGGGGAAAGTTAGGAAACCAACCGCAGGAAAAAACGACAACAATAAGCCAATACATTTCACTATAACCATCAATGTAAATGGGCTGAACTCAGCAATCAAAAGAAAGAGAGTGACAGGATGGATCAAAAAAACAATATACTGCATACAGGAAACACATTTTTTTTTTTTCAGATTTTTTTTTTTTTTATTGAGTTTATTGGTACATTTAGGGATACAGTACAGTTACATTCATTGTTGGGATCATGTACCTTTACATGGCAAGTCTTGATTCTCATTTTTTTCCCCTTACCTCTGCCCTCCCTTCACCCCCTCCTCCCCTCCCCATCTACAAACACTTTATTTTCATCTTTTCATTCTCTCACATTTTTTTCTTTTCCCTTTTTGTTCTTCCCCTACGTATCACACCTTCCCTACACCTTTAGCTCCTTTCCTCCCATTTCTAAATGTCAGTAATCTTATTAGAATCTTATGCATTGTTGCAGAATATTCACACCAGGGAAACTATTTGGTATTTACACATGTGGGACTTATTTATTTCACTTAGGAGTATATCTTCAATATGTATCCATTTTCCTATGAATGAATCTATTCTCTCGCTCTTTATGGCTGACAGGAAACACATTTAACTGAAAAAAATTCACAGATTGTTTGTCAGTATCTTATTGAGGATTTTTGCATCTGTGTTCAATAGGGAGAGTGGCCTGTAGTTTTCTTTATTGGTTGGACCTTTCTCTGGTTTTGGTATCAGGGTAATGCAAGAATTTGAGGAGTAACTGCTATTAGTATTTTCTAAAGTTCTTGTAGAATTCAGTAGAGACTTTCTCAGGACCTGGGCTTTTCTTTGTTGGTAGTTTTAAAATGACTTCTTCAATTTCATTGACTGATATTGGGTTATTTCAAAATTTTATATCTTCTTGGTTCAGCTTTGTTAATTCATATGCATCTAGGAAACTATCCATTTATTCAGAGTTTTCCATCTTATTAGAGTACAGGTCTTCAAAGTAGGTATTGATTATCTTCTGGATTTCTGCAGGATACATTGTTATTTCATCCTTTTTATTCCTAATTTCAAGGGTTTGAGTTTTCTCTTTTCTGATAAGATGCACTAAGGTTTGTCTATTTTATTTAATCTTTTAAAGAACCAATCTTCAATTCATTGATTCTTTGTGTTGTTTTCTTAGTCTCAATTGCATTAATTTCTGCTTGGATCTTCATAATATCTTCCTTTGTACCTGCTTTGGGTTTAATTTACTCTTCTTTTTCAAGGCAGGTGGCTTTTTTTTTTTTTTTTTGTACTGGGGATTGAACTCAGGACCTGGCACTTTCAAGGCAGGCAGCGGAACCACTGAGCTAAATCCTTGGCCCACTTTTCTTTTTCTAGAAGCTTAAGGTTCAACACTAGGCTATTTGAACTGCCATCTTGCCTCACCAACCTTGATTTTCTTTAAATGGGTACTTCCAAAGTACTAACCAGGAAGGAGTTCTACTTACAATCTTTTTGTTTGTTTGTTTGTTTTTTGAGATGGAATTTTACTCTGTAGTTCAGGCTAGCCTCAAACTCACGGAGATACTCCTGCCTCACTAACCTATGCGTTGGGATTATAAGTGTGCACCATCATGCCTGACTCTATTTAAAAATTTAATATGGCATTAACAGTCTACTAAATTGGCTAAATTTAGAACAATAATTCAACTTTCCCCTCTTCTCATTGTTCATTTTCCTTTTTCAAGATAAATATAATTAGTGATTATGTACATGGTTTGAGTTAAATCATATTTTTTATATTTTGGTTTTTTAAATTTAAATTTTCAATAATTATTTTTTGGTACTGAGGATTTAGCTTAGGACCTCATGCATGATGGGTAAATGTTCTGTCACTAAGCTAAACCCATACCCTATTTATATATTTTAATGACTATGAAGTAAATAGTCCACAGTATTTCATGTTGTATCAGGAGAATTTAATCAAGCCATATTAATAAATGACCACAGAAACCCCACACCTCCTTTCTTGGGGTATTGGCTAACAGCAATAAAAGTTTCCTCCTTCATCCATATGTCCAGCAGTCGGGCAGCCACAGTCCTGCTCTGTGTCATTTTTACTCAGGACTCAGCCACCATAGCCCCTGTTTGCATAATGCTGATCTGTGGCAGGGTCAGGGACGGAAGCATGAGCTGGCTTTTAAAGCTTTGCCAGCAAGTGACAATACCCATTTTCCTTGATTTCATTCACCAGCATAATTCACGATGCAAATCTGACATCAAAGGGGCAGTGAAGTATATTTCTTATCCAGGGAGGAACATCAAGCATTCTTTTTTTGTACCAGGGATCGCTGAGGTCCTTGGGCTTGCGAGGCAGGTGGTAGAACCACTGAGCTAAATCCCCAGCCCTCATCAAGTATTCTTAAGCAATCAGTCTACTGGCAATATTTTGTTTTCCTTGGAGTTTATACTTCCTTCTTTCTGAGATTGTCTAGCTTTCCGTATATCTACCAGCATTTCATCTTTGTATGTCCCACTGCAGCTGTGAAATTGTGTTCATAAAGTTCAAGCACATTAGATAATCCATCACTTCCCATGTGTTTTCTTGCAGATGCCCCCTCTGGAGCCTCTGTCCTCTGTGTCAGGATGGATGGTAGCTCTCCAGGCTTTCTATACAGCTGTCATCCTGGAATCTCTCTTCACCTTAGCTACAGAATTCTCTTCCTCCTTTCTTGGTATTCTTCTCATCAGAGCCCATATTTTTGTATTTCTTGATTTATGCCTTTATTTGGGTGGAGTAACTCCCTTCAGTAATTTCCCAAGAAAAACAGATGGAAGTTAAAATTTTTGAGAGTTTTTAAAAACATCTTTTCTGGCTCCACCTATTGGTTCATTGTTTTATTTTCTTTCTGGTTCCTCTTTCCTGTTTTTCTTTTTGTCACTTTATGCTGGTCTTTTATGAGAAGGAGTTTCTTCATATGAATGGAGAACCTCAACTATTCATTCACATTAAAGAATGAGGTGCTATTCGGCAGACTGAGACAGCCTTGGGAAGATTGTTGCCAGTCTGGGCAACAGAGCAAGACTCTATTGCAAAAAAAAAAAAAGGTTATTAAAAAGTAGATTAGAGCCCATATTAGTGTGAGCAGGGAAGGGTTTGTCAACTGTTGGGCCTCACTCTTAAAAGACAAACAAGACCCATTCTTCCTTGTAAGACTCAAAATCTCAGTATTTGCAGACCTCTTCTCTTGGACCAGCTCAATCTCCCCTGAGAAATATCCCAGTCTCCTCTAAAATCTGAATTTGGGAATGAAGCTGATGAAGTCTGTCTCATAATTCAGTATGCACAATGTTGCTAAATTCTGCTTCTCTGTGTAGTAGTCCATCCCTGTTCTCTGCTCTGCCTGGTATGCAGAGGATCTCTGGGGCAGCCTCTCTGTGAAGTAAACCATCTATCTTTCGGTTGGGCAGCATGGAATGAAGCACAAGATACAGAGGGGGAAGAATCTCATTTCTCTTAAAAAAAACTTTCACAACAGATTACCATCTTCAGCCTCACCCTACTTCTATTTTCAGAGACATGGCGGCTCCATTTTCAGAGACTTTCCTGATGCTCAGTGGGTTCCCTTTCAGGTTGGCTCTGCCTCCTAAGCAAAGTGTAGACATTAACTTTCTCAGTTTTAATAAGTCAGTTACACTCATCCATCTTATCTCTTTAAAAAATTTTTAAATTTCTTCATTTATTTGTTTTCTACATTATTTTTATGACATCCTTCTTCAGCAGGACTCTTGTTTTTATAAATTTATATCTTTTTTATTCCATCTCTGTCATTTTAACGTTATCTTGAATAAGCAGAGAAAAACCTGTGTTCAATGCACCATTTAAATGAAGTCTTGTTACCATTAGGCCCTCACATGTATGGATATAATGAACATTTTCTAAGAAGAAAGGAAGATTGTGTATGTCTGTCTTTGCAGAAATCACGGAAAAATCAAGTATAGCTATAGGTAATTTAATTAAAATTAGATACAAATACAGTTACTGTCCAGAGAAATATAAGCCATAACACATGATAACAGAAAAATTATACCTAATTTAAAGGCAGTCTTTTAAATGACTGTATGTACTATACAGAGTATATCTGTTATTCTCACCATAAACATGGGCTGAGTGCTAAGACTGCACCCTGGGTAGTCTTGACTCCAGAATTTTCATGCTGTGTAACATGATACATCATTGTCTAAGCTACAGGAGCTCTATTGATATGCATCACTGCAGACATATCTATTTGAGCTATGCAATCGAGATAAAATAGAATAATCTATAACAAATTTTAATGGTCAGTCAAACTGTAGCCTGGCATATGTTGGATTTATAATACAAACAGATGGACATTTCCTGTGAAAGAAAGCAGTCACCATCTGTAATTTGAGGAGTCAGGAGCACTTAGAAATCTCACACTAGTAACATAAAACTTAAAGGACCTGTTGAAATACATCTTCAAGAGCTTACCATATTAAACTGTTGGCCCTGAACATCTGAATTCCAGTAACTCAACTCCTCACTGTTTGACGGGTTTGCACCAAAATCATTCTCTCCAAGGCTATGCAATCACACCTGTGGTAATTCTTTGTGAGGTGTATATGTATGTGCACACACTTCAGTAATCTATAGATAGATAGTATTGTGTTGCTCAGTGATGGGTACATTCTGAGAAATGCACCATTAGGTGATTCAGCCAATGTACACACATCATAAAGTGTCCTTACACAAACTAAGCCATAATGTTAGTGAACATACAATATCACGAGACCACTTTTATACTTGTGTAGTTCACTGTTGAAACTTCTCCTACTTTAAATTGCAGGTGTTGGATATTTTGTCCCAGTGACTAAAACAGTAATGAAGGAGGCACACACACTCTCAAGGTAAAGGCCCTGGCTTGGCAGGGGCAGACGGAATTCTTGTTCACATTCTCTTGCAATGAGTGTACCTGACCATATTAGCAGAAAGGGAGGCTGTAGACCCTTCTGAGCTTTCAATTAGAATAATGCAGTCATAATTACCTTACCACTTAATTTCAAAATGAAAACATTCTTTCAACCTCTGTGGTTTTGGATATTATTGATGACCACTCCTTTCTGGCATGCTTTTGTGAAACTTCAATTTACCCTGCTTTGATGATTTTGCATCACCCTGGTTTTCCTCTTATTTCTTCTCCCCCTTCCCTGCTGGCCTTTTTCATCAAGACCAGAGCTTCTCAAATTTGTGGTCAAATTTCTTGGGAGTTCTTGTTAAATTGAAGATGCACGCCATAGTTACTTTTCTCATTTTTGAGACACGATACCCAACACGCCCAAGTTAAAAGAGGAAAGGTTTAATTTAGTTCACAGTTTGCAGAGGTTTCAGCCCATGCTTGTCTGGCTCCAAGGCAGAGCCACATGGCAGAAGGATGTGGCAGAAGAGAAACGGCGGAGGCAAGAAGCAGCAAATAGCAGCCTTCCTTCTTTCGGTGCCTTTTTATTCCATCCAGGTTCTAAGCCTATTGGTTGGTGCCACTCATTCCCAAGGTGAGCTTCTGTCTTCAGTACACTCATTCGGCCACACCCAGAACAGTGCGAATCCAATCAGCAGACTAATCCAGATGTCAGACACCCTTAATCCCAGCATCACGCACTGTAATCCAGCCACCCACGAAAAGCCCCACTTATGAGCACATGAGGCTTTGGGGGGCATCTGGATATAAATCATAACAGTGCGGATGCAGCAGGCCTGAGTTAGGGTCTGAGATCAGCATTTCTAACAAATCTCCTGGTGCAGTCACAATCACACTTTAGCAAGACTCAGAAGATGGTATTTTCCAAGAGTCTGCCCTTCCCTGTCACAACGAGCCCACTGGGGGCTGATACTTTCCCATCTATTTTCTCACTTAATCCTCTCTCCTAAACTTCAAAACCTTTATTTCTGACTTCTCACATCTACGTGGCTGCCTTGAAAACCATTTAAACTTAAAATGTCCAAATCTAAACTACCATTTTCTCACAGATTAGCTCCTTCCCTTCCTCTTACAACTGTCCTTTTTCTATTTCTTAGAACTATCTACAAACTGAAAGCCTGTTACTTCTTTCTACCCCCAATTAACCAATTTCAGCAGTTGACAGATTCTATAGATTCTGCCTTTATCACATTATCTGTCAACCAACTCCTTCATATTCAGCAGTCATAAAGCAAAGGCTTTTCTTTATTTCCCTCAAACTTTTAAACTCTGAAAACTTAACTTAGATTCTGAAAACTTAGAAAACTTAGATGAAAACTTAGATTCACCCACTTGCCATCTGCGGATCCTTCTCCGTTGTCTCTGCCGCTTCTCCATAAACTCCAGAGTCTTCCCTCTTCCTGGAATACAGCTCTCCCTGGCCTTCAGGAGTGTCCTCGGGCTCTGCTGTGAACCCTCCCTCCCCGCCTCCTTCAGAGTCCATCTCCATGCCGCCTCCATGCTGCCTTTCTTTCCAGATCTCTCCAGCCGTCATTAAAGGCTCCTTGACCCTCTCTGCAGGACTTTGTATTTTTGCATGGCACCTATCGTGGTCTTTTACTATAAAACTACTTTATCTTTGTTTTACTTCCTACTCTAGGAGCACAGATGAAGTCCACTCCCCTCTGTGACCCCGCGGCCCCTCACCTATGGGAGGTGTTCCATGATGAGAAGGATCAGAGTGATTTACGGGGTTGATGCCACGCGGTGGACCCAGACACGGAAGCCAGTACAGCTGGGCTGCAGCTCTGGCATCAGTTGCCATTTTCTGGAAGGCTTTGGGGAAGTCACTTTGCTTGGCTGTAAGACAACTACTGCTCCTGACAGAGTAGGTAGATAACGGGACACCGCTGCGCGACCGTGCCGTGAGCAGGAGTGAGCAGTAACTGGAGGTCGAGACGGCAGTAGTTGCCAACTAGATTTTACATATTTTATACATATGTCACTCATCCAGCATGTTATTCCTCCGCCAGGTGACACTCCCTGTACCTGCACGAGTCCGGGGAGGCGACTTTGTCTCTCCTTTCCTGGTGATTGCGGTTGTCGGTCCGGTTGCCTCCTCCTGGATCCAGGGGTCCACTCGGGCAGGCGTCCGATGTCTCCACCGAGGTCTCATCCGAGGTCCCGTCTTGCAGGTTGCGGTGGAGCTGGGTCGGTCACCGAGTGGGACGAGCTGGTCTGCGCTCTCTCTTCTGTACTGTTCTAGCTTGGGGTGTGTGGCACTGGTTCGGGCTTAGCACTTCACAGACATTGGGGGGCTACATCGTAGGGTGTCGCAGGGTCTGTCTGACTAGACATCACATTTCACTCTTGGGGGTTTCGCTCTGCACTCTCGGGAATGCATTTACATTGTCCTCGGTCTATGTTCTCCACGGACCTCACAGAGAACTGAGCAGCGCCGCTCTCCCTCGGAGATCTAGCGCAGCACCATCCCTACCTCACCGACGGGAGGTCACCTCCCAGTGGCGGGGAACCGGCCACCCCGCTTCACGCCAGAGCCAAGGCTCTCGGCGAGTCGGGCG